TCCTTCCATGCCCAACTGCTGCCAGGCTGTTTTCTGGTGCTTCAGCATTTTCCGATTTTTTTTGAAAGATTTGGCCTCTGAATTTGGGACGAAAATGGCTAGGCTGTAGCAGCATAGGAATTTTCTCTTCCTTTTTTACCTCATTGTTTTTTTCCTGGTTACCTTCCTCCAGCAATTTTTGAAGAAGATACAGCTTCTTCATCTTATTTGTGAAACGTAAATTGTTGCGTGCAGGTTGAAAAGAGTTTTTCCTGTTGTGGTTCAAGTCACCTAAGGGATTAGCGCCCTCTTGGACTTTTGAAAAATGCAGCTGAATGAATGGTAATAATGTTGCCTCTATGCCTTCTAGATTTTTCTTGGAGAAATAAGGCAGTATGTAGTTTAGTGCACTGATGATGTCACTTTCATCATTCATATCGAGCTGCTCTTTTGTAAAGCCCACTGGGTTGGTCACACTTTCCTCTGAAGATGACATTTCAGATTCAATATTCAGCTGGGTGCTGGTGCTCCCCTTCCGGGCTTGTAACACTTTCATGAAGGATTCTTGGGAGAATGTGGATGTGTCTCCCACTGTCAGAAAAGAAGACATTGCTCTCAGTTAGGGCAGAATGATAGACACCCAGCTTTTTACTGGCCCACAGCTGTACACACCAGTCAAAGAAGGGAGAGGTCAGTAACTATTTCAGTGCCATGTGGACAAGACAAAAAGAAATCCAAACTTAAACTTAAAAAACCCAACAGAAAGAGAAAATGACCTCTCTTGCTAATGAGACTACCTTTTGAGAACATTCCATAGTGTGTAATACAGTAACTTAACTTAGCTAAATGATTGGTACTCACTAAAAGGCCACATCCTGACAAGTACTTGCCCACTCAGCAGGCTTCTCTGCAGACCTTCTATGCATACCCACGCAGGACCCAAAACACCATAATGTCACAGTGTAGCAGCAGAGGCAGCACAGGTCTTCCTCACCCCACCTGGTCAGTTGCTACCTCACTATGCTCGGATGACCATGATGAAGGACAGTCCTCTTAGGACAAAACGGCAGACATGCAAAATCCCCACTCCTTCTGCCTACAGGTCTTTTCTGGATACGTCTGCTCCACCTGTGTGCCCAGTGCCTTCACTTGGTCCGTGCTTCCATGTGTCCTAGCACCGTGATGGCAAACATCCAGACAAACAGTGCCAAACCGCACCCTAACCCACTTACTCATGGCAAAGTGCCAACCCTGCAATGAAACCTGAATACTGGGGTTTTAGGTGGGAAAAATCAACTCCTTATGAACGTCTTTTGTCTTAAGAGAAAAATACAACCATGCATGTGTGGTAGGTTCACTGCCACTGTCCAGTCCCATAACAAAAGGTTCTTCTACACAGAGCCAAACACTGTACTGCTCGAGTCTTCCTTATATCAGAGCAGGGATCCAGAGTGTAGGATAAGAGATTTTTAATTTGCCTGGTTGTATGCCTGCCTCTGTGGAATAGTGAACAGCAAATCTACAAAATAACAGCAGTTTCTGTATATACATGACTTAAGGTGGTAATGTATAAGAGAAACTGCCCCTTCTATCAGATCAGATGCTTTCCCTACTTTTATTTCTGTCCTAATATTTCTAAGCATCCAAAGCTCCTGACAATACTGTCATACGAAAGTCAAGGGCTCAATGTGTAACTGATTTGTCTTCTGGAAGAATTAATTGACTGGTGGTGGTGAGGACCAGAGGAGGAGGGGGTAAGGATCATGACCATAGAGGAAAATGGGTTCTGCAGAACCCAGAATTGCGGACAGAGGGCTGGGCATGAGGCTCTAGCACTTGACACCTCTGATCTTAATCTGTAAATGGAGGCAAGAAATTCTTGTTTTTCTCACCTCTGAGGGTAGAATGAATACTGTAATTGGTAAAAATTTGTTTTGGAAACCAAGCAAAGTTCTTTTGCATAAGAAACGTAGTGCCACTATTTATTATTTGTCCCTGTATTCAAGCTCTCTGGATGTGAAAGCACTCACATGTGGCAAGCATGAAGTGAGAGCTAATAAACCCGACATACGGAAAAATCCTTAAATGCACCTGAGTCATCTTAGACTCATGATAAGCTCAGGTTTGGACAGTCTGGGCATGGAACAACCCTGCATTCCCTTAGAAGAGACAAGCAATTGTAGTTAGGCAATCAGAAACTCAGGCTCCAATACAATAGTACGGCTTGACAGTTTCGAAAAGATGATAAAACGGATGTACACCTGCCTAAGGTTGAAGGAATAGAGACCTAATATATAAAAAACCAGCTTACAAGCTGCACTGCACATTATAAGTGCACATAACTGCACATTATAAGTGCAAACCAATTGTATCATTAGTTTACAGCCTTTGTATCACTATTTAGAAATTAAAAAGCAAATAAAAGAAACATGAAAACATCATTAGGCAATTGAGACTCACGACACTGCATGGCATTGGTCAGACAGGTGCTATCACAGTGCAGCTTGACTGTCTTGTCGACAACTTCAATATCATTTTTAAACTGGCAGAGGCAGCAGACCATATTGCTCGGTAAGATCCTGCAGACAGGACACAGAGTTCTGAGTTAATGGAAAGCTGCTCCTTGAATGGTAAAGAGGCAGGACGAGGCTCCACAGTGTGGAGCAGGAAGGAGTGCTGGAGGCAGCCCTTGCGGCTGGGTAGGAAGCCAACAGCCACTGCAGCTTTTGGATATTGTGAGTAAATAGGAGGGAGAGAGGGGTCCCCACAGAAGGAAGCTCAGCAGTGCGTGTGGTGGGCCTCACATGAAGGTCCTGGAGATTAGTGCTGAGTGACAGGAATGTGTCCTTTCATTCAGAAGCATCTCCTTTCAACTTGTAAGTCTCACTGTGGGTTGGGAGTGCACAGGAAGTACATCGGCTTCTAAAAAGCGGGAATCCGGGCTGGGGGTTTAGCTCAGCGGCATAAGCGCCTGCCTTGCAAGCAGGCAGTCATGACTTTGATCCCTGGTACCGATAAAAATGAAAAAGCAAAAAAAAAAAAAAGTGGGAATCAGCTTCCAATGTGTGAGGTCCCTTTCACAACTTGGGTTCCGAGTGGTAAATGTGAGACATTTGGCAAAAAAGTCAGTTTATCCCTACCTATATTGTGCGGTTAATAACACAGATCAAACTTGGTAAATCTAGACAACTGGAGCATTCAAAAGGTCAAGGAGGACTCGGTGGGGGTGAAGTGGCTCAGAGGGAGAGAGCTGGCCTAGTGTGCTCAAGTCCTGGGTTTGATCCATAGTATCTCAAAATACAGAAGGGAGAGGAGGATGAGGGAGCAATGACTACGTGATGAAAGCAGCCATGAATTACTAGTGGCTCTGGAAAGGATGGTGTCTAGCTAATGTGGGTGGGAAGGGAAGCAGGTGCTGCAGGAAGTTGAGGAAGACGAGCCTGGAGCAGAAACCAAGGGGTTTGGCAGTGTGGGAAGTCAGTTGAGGAGGTGACCTGACAGAAACAATGAGCGCAGACTGCTAAATGAAAGGTGTCTTGCAAACCCTCAACTACTTCACTACTAAGTGAGCTTCTATTTAGCTTGCTATATTGGAGGAGGATGGCACAATTCAAGTTGCAGTCAGTGGTATAAAAACCATCAAAACAGGGCACTACATACAGTAGTACAGTAATATACTTCACACTCTGCATGAAAATTAACTCACAATAGATCATAAACCTACCTGTAATCCTAACACTCAGAAGCTGAGGCAGGAGGATCACCAATTGGAGCCCAGCCCAGGTAGATCAGCAACTTAGTGAGACCCTGTCTCAAAACTACCAATAAAAAATGCTAGTGCAAGCACCAGGGTTTAATCCCCAGCACCTCTGAAAATAATCACGGACCTAAGTATGACTAGAGTTACACAGCGCAATTCTGGAAGAAAGCAAGTGAGAAAATCTCGTAGCCATGGGTTAAACAATGGGCACATAAAACAAAGATTTCTTAGGTAAGACAAGAAAAGGCCTGAAAGAACAAAAGCTTGCTAAATTCTATTTCATCAAAATTTTTAAAGTTAAGATTTCTGTTCTACTCTAGTGCTCTGGGAAACTGAGGTAGGATGTTTGTAAATTTGGCCCAGTCTGGGCAACATAAATCCATGGTGAGACCTTGCTTCAAAATAACAAAATGAAAAATGTGGAAGGGGAGGTCATAGCTCAGTAAGAAAGGCCAAGTACTTAAAAAATAATATCTGCACTCATAAAGATAATCATCATTAGCTTAGCTAGTAAAGAAATGCACACTTAAGCTACAATGAGATAGATCCACATACATGGTGTTAAAAAGGCTTACCTTTTTTATAGACTGAAATGCAGGGATCAGGTAAAGATGATGTGGTAACTCTTTTCTTTGTTTTTGATTGGGGTACTAGCGATTACACTGAGGGCATTCACACTGGGCTGTCTCCAGCCTCTCTTTTTGTCCAGCTTTTACATGTATTTATGCATTTTCATTTTGAGACAGGGTCACACTGTCAGTAAGATACACAGGCTGACTTTGAACTTGCCATCCTCCTGCCTCAGTCTCCCTGGGTGCTAGGATTACAGGCCTGGGCCGCCACGCCTAGCTGCCATTTGAACTCCCATAGACTGCACGTGGGATGTATGAATGATTATCCTAAGTGGATAATAGCCAAACACAAATGGCTGCACACTGCATGATTTCATTTATAAGACCTTCCAGAAAATGTAAACGTACAGGGCAGAAATAAAGACTGGCAGATTCTGGGAGCCGTGATAGATAGAGTGAACCAGCTGTGAAGGACATGAGCTGCCTTCTGAAGGTGACCCAGATGTTTTACAGCAGGGGTGTGGTGGTGGCTACATAACCACACAAACTCCTCAAACATGTGAGTTTTGTGACATGGAAATCACACGTCCATAAGCCTGACTTAATAGTAAAACAAACCTAGCAACAACAATGAACCCAAGAGAAACAGATCTGAGAAAAAAACTAACTTACAGTCTTTCCAATTCAAGAGACTTCGTGAGGATGTTCTCCAGTACTGTGAGTGACACATGCGTCTGTCCCAAGTCCCTGAAGAAGAAAGCCAGACAGAAATGAGGAAGCCCAATGCCAAAAGTCTGTGCTTCAACAGGTATTTGAAGGATATCTTATTATTGCACTTTTGCCTCCCAGTGAAACAAGCCAGCACATAACTTTACATGAACTATAATCCCAGAGAAGTCTTCATGCAAAAATTCAAATTTAATGTTTTCATCATCAAATGAATGACCTTGGCATTGCATAGTAGATGCTGCATCTGTGTTTCAGTCACCATCATACTTCACATTTTTATATTGCATTCACATCTCTCACTGTGTTGTTCTTTTTAGTAACAAGGCCACTATGTTTCCTGGGGTAATGGTGTTCCTGCATCCACTGATGTGATCCGTGTCTACCGTGTTCCTCAGTGGTGCTCCCGATCCCTGCTGACTCTCTTGCCCATTATACATCTTAATCCTTCTCTTTGTGAATAACCTGATTAAAATTAAACTTATGACCTGTAGGATCAAAGTACAATACTGTACCATTCTTGGAAGGAAGCAAGAAGAGCCAAAGTCATATTATGACTTAAAGGTTATGGCAATACTTACAGATAATTTAATGCTTGTAATGTAAAAAGTGATGGATCTTCGATAGTTGTCAGAGGATTATTATTGAGAATTCTGAAAAATGCAATGGGATAAAAGTTATCTGTATTTTCAATATGCATGAAATTACATAAAAAGTTGATATTCTTTTTTTGGTATGGAGCTGATTCATAGGTTAAAAAACCATTTTCTTTGATTACCTATGAATAAACCTTAAAATGCATAAAGCAGTGTTCCCTTTGGGGATTCTGTATGTCTGTAAAAGATCCTGTGGAAAAGAGAAAGTGAAAAAAATGTAGGAAAAAAGTGGATAGAAAACCAAAAAAAAAAAAAAAAAAAAAAAAAAAGAGGCTAAAAACAAAATCCCTAAAAGTGACTGCTTCATAAGGAAGCCTTTATTATAAGCCAACCAAACCTAACATTCCTGTGTAGGACATTTCCCAACAACAATGTAAAAACAAGAAGAAACACAGTCTTCTTAAGGGCACATTGAAAAGACCTGTGAGTGCCACATGCATGTGTCTCAAGACCCTTGGGACCTTTTACTATTAAGCCAGGTCTATTGAGATAGACTAGGTCAAGTGTCCATCCATTCTTTGTTTCTTTTGAGGCAGGGTCTCTCTGCAATACCAATCAGCTCCAGGCTTGCTATGTACCCCAGCATGTGCTTGAAGTTGCAGTCCTCATTGCTGAACCTACCATGCTGGGATTACAAGCATGTGTCATCACACCTACTTCGAGTCTCAATACACTTAAAAGGACTAGTACACAAAATATGTTCTCTAAAGAAGGTGGGATGAAATCACAGATCAATGACAGGAAGAAGTTTGGTAAATTCCTAAATATAGAAATTAAGCATATATAAGCAACTAACAGGTCAAGAAGAAATAACAGACATGAGGAAATACCTCAACATCACTGTGAAAGAAGACACCCAGCACCAACACTTTAGGAAAGGTATACACACACATGCAAATATTAAAAATTCTCATCAGTAATATAAAGCTCTGAGTAAACAAGGAAAAAAATCCAAGAAACTTAAAAAAAAGATAGCAGAAAGAAACAGTAAAGAGTAGAACAGAAAAAGGTGATACAGGGAATTGAAAAACAATAGAGAAAATCAACACTGCCAAAAATTAGTTTTTAACAAAGATCCTGTGGAGACAGCTTAGCAGCTTATGAGCCCAGTGCCTGCCTGGCAAGCATGAGGCCCTAAATTGTATTCTAGATACCAAAACAACTCAGTGGTAAAAGATCAACAGTGCCGGGCTTGGTGGTATAATCCCAGCACTTGGGAGGCTGAGGCAGAAAGACAGCTGTGAGTTCAAGGCCAGCATTAACTATATAGCAAGACTCTGTTTTGGGGGCAAACATCATTAACAAAGGAGGGGACATGGCTGGGTGTGGTGACACATGTCTACAATCCCAGCACTTGGGACCTTGGGGCAAGAGGATCACAGCAACTTCAAGATCAGTCTGAACTAATAAACTGTGTCTCAAACAAGGGTGGAATTATTACTGATATGGAATGGATTATTACTAGAATGGAATGGATTATAAGGGAAAACCAAAAAATTATTTGCCAATAACTTAGATAACCTAGATGATAGATATGGTTCTAGAAACTGAAGAAACAACAAAACCTTGAACAGACCTATTTAAATAGAATGATTGAGTTATTGACCAAAACTTCTCACAAAAGAAGAGCCTTTTGTTTTCTCTTTGGTGGGATGAAGAGAATCTCATGATCAGATGGCTTCACTGGTGAAATCTGCCAACTGATTAAAGAAGCAATACCAGGGCTGGAGATTTAGCTCAGCAGCATAAGCACCTGCCTTGCAAGCAGGCAGTCGTGAGTTCGATCCCTGGTACCCATAAAAAGGAAAAAGACAAAAAATAAAATAAAATAAAAATAAGCAATATCACTAAACCTTCAAAACATTTTCTAACATGTAAAAGAAGACAGAATCATTCCTACTTCATTCTAGGAGTCAGTATTGCCCCCCTATACAAAAAAGATATAAATCAAGAAAATTATGAATATATATACGTATATATGAATATATATTTTGGTACCAGTGATCAAGCTCACAACCTCGCACTTGTCAGGCAGGTGCTGTGCTGCTGAGCTATGTCCTCAATCCTGAAGCAGTATTTCTTATGAGAATAGATATAAAATTCCTCACAAACCACATTAAACAGAGCATACAGATAACACTATGCATCATGACCAAGTCCAGGAATGCAAGTTTGGCTCAACATAAACATCAGTCTAAAACAATATTAATAGACTGAAAGAAACGTGTTCATCTATGTTAATGCAGTAGGAGCATTTAAAAATTAACTCCTTTTCACTATAAAAACATCCACAAACTAGGAATAGAATCACCTCTGGGGCTGAGGCATAAGTACCTGCCTGGCAAGGGCCAGCTCATGAGTTCGATCACCGGTCCCAAAAATAAATCACTTCAGCCTAGTAAAGGGCACAAAAATAAAAAGGAAAAACACCACCATGGCTAACATCAAAGCAAAGATCTCTTCTTGTATCTATTAAAATCTATATGGAGGTTTCAGCCAGGGCAGCCAGGGAAAACAAAACTGTACACTTGCATATACATATAGAAAACTGTAGCATAACCAGGCATGTGGCTACAGGCCTGCAACCAGCACTTTGAGAGGCAGGAGGATTCCTGCCTAGACATTTAGTGAATTTAGTAGATCCTATCTGAAAATAAAAATAAAGCAAGGGACAAGAATGTAGCTCAGTCCCTGGTACAAGTGTGAAAGTATAAGCCAGTCATTGTGGCAGTACATGCCTGGAATCCCAGGACCCAGGAGGCTGAGGCAGGAGGATCACTCTGAGTTGGAGGTCAGCCTGGCCTGCATAGTACCTTCAAGGCCGGTCTGAACTACGTAGTGAAATCTCTTAATCAAACAAATAAACAAATCAAAAGAGAAGAGAAAACCATAATGAATGCATACATGGAAGGAAACTAGGACTAGTAACATTAAAGGTTGTAGAACGCAAGATCCTTATGCAAAAATTGGCTGTCTTTTTCCATTGCAGTGTAACTCAATGCAGCATACTTTCCTAGCACATACAAGGCTCTGGGCTCCACTGCCAGGGTCAGAAAGAAAATTAAGAATGATATTCAGTAAACTATTCCAGGGCCTGGGGTTTAGCTCAGTGGCATAAGCGCCTACCTTGAAAGCAGGCAGTCTTGAGTTCGATCCCCGGTACACATAAAAAGGAAAAAGACAAAACAAAAAACAAAAACAAAAACAAAAAAAAAAGAAGAAAAGAAAACTATTCCATGTGTTGAAAAAAAAAAGAAAAGAAAATTATTCCATGTGTTGACAAGAATAAAACATTTAGGACTAAATGTAACCAAAGAAGTACAAAACATATGTTGAAAACTATAAACCACTGTTAAAAGAAATTAAAGATCTAAATGAATAGAAGACATTTGTCATCATGGATCAGAAGACATCATTACTATTAAGAGGGCACAGGTGCCGACGATGTAGCCCAGTGGCACAGCACCTGTCTGGCAAGGACTAGGCCCTGAGTTTGATTCCTGGTACAAAAAAACAAAAAAAGATGTCACTATACTTCAAGCTGAGCTATGATTTCAGCACAGTTCCTATCAAAATCCCAGCTACCTGGGCTGGGGCTGGGCTCAGTGGTATAGCACTCACCTACCAAGCACGAGGCCCAGTACTGCTAAACAAAATGAAACAAAACATCAAATTCCAGTTGGAGGGCTGGGGATTCAGGCCCGTGACACAAACGCCTGCCTTGCAAGGGCACAGTCATCAGTTTGTTTGCCGGTACCAAAAAAAAAAAAAACTTCCAGCTGGATTCTTTCCAAAACCTGGCAAGCCATTTTGTAAAATTCACATACCAAGTCAGGAGATTCAGAATCACCAAAACCATCTTGAAAAAGAACAGACTAGGACTCAGTTTCCACTTTCAAAACCCAGTGGAGATCTACAGCAAACCGAAGTGTGGTATTAGACTAAGACTAGCCTGTAAATCAATGGAATCGTGCTGACAGTCCAGGAATAAACCTTCACCGTTACTGTTAACTGCCTGTTGACAGGTGTGAAAACAATAGAACAGTCTTGCAGAATGTTGCTAGGAGTACTGGATATCCACATGCAGAAGAATGATGTTGGGCCCCTCTACACAGCAGTATTAGAAAACTGACTCAAAGCATAGCAGATACCTAGTACAAGGTCTTAAACTATAAAACCCTTAGAAGAAAACAGGAGCAAATGCTTATGCTCTTGTTTCTATATATGATAACCAAAGGAAAAGTATATAAAGCAGATTTTACCAAAACTAAAAACCTTTGTGCTCCAGCTGGGCATAATGAGGCATCCCTATAATTTTAGCACTCAGGAGACAGAGTGAAGATGATGAGTTCAAGGTCAGCCTGGGGTGCACAATGAACTGGAAGGCAGCCTGAGCTGCATGGCAAGATTCTGTCTCACAAAACCAAAGCCAGCTTGGTGTGGCAGCACACCAAGGAAATGGGGAGTGCTCACTCACTGGTACAGGGTTGCTTTGTAGGGTGATGAGGGTGTTGTGGAATGAGATAATGGAGATTATTGTGGAATCTCATGAATACACTAAACACCACTGAACTGTTCTCTATAAAGCTGTGCTTTTATTTTGAAAAGAGCCGTGTTGTAATATATGGAGGACCAAGTGCTGAGAGCACAGTCCTGTTGGCAGAGGGCAGAAAGAGGAGTGACTTTCAGACTCTTCCTTGACAAGGGCAGAGGGAGTCAATGGTGGGACTGGGAGCCACGCGGCTCGTTCTCGCCAGGTGAGCTTCCCCATTTAGTGCATTCTTCCAGATGCAGTTTATCTTGCTTCATTTGTAACGTTAGACAATATTCAATGAGATGATGTCATGAAGTGAAAGAACATGAATGTCACATGACTAATAAGCACAGTGGCTCAAAGTATAGCTTTCAACAGGCCACTCACTGCTGGGCTCTGTGAAAGCGGGTTCTCCACCCCTACCTCTTCTCTCCCTGCTTCCTTTCCCCCAGCCACTAAGAATGACGGTGAAGGCCAGGCCCAGTGGGGCAGGCCTGCGGTCCCAGCACACTAGGAGGCTGAGGCCAGAGGTCAAAATTTGAGCCCAGCCTGGATAGTTTAGCAATTTAAAGAGAACTTGTTTCTAAATTTAAAAAAAGGCTGGGGATGTGGCTCAGT